AATGGGGGAATAGTGAATAGGGATAGGGAGATAGTGAATAGTGATGGGGGAATAGTGAACAGGAATGGGAGAAGAGTGAACAGGGATGGGAGAATAGTGAACAGGGATGGGGAGATAGTGAACAGTAATGGGGGAATAGTGAACAGGGATGGGAGAAGAGTGAACAGGGATGGGGGGAATAGGGAACAGGGTGGGGGATAAGGAATGGGGTGGAGGGATAGTGAATAGAGATGTAGTGAACAGGATGGCGGGGTTAGTAAATGGCAAGGGAGGGTAGTGAACAGGAGATGATAGAGTGAGAAGGGATGGGGGATAGTGAACCGAGATGGGAGAATAGTGAACAGAGATGGAGGGATAATGACAGGGGAAGAGGGAAGAAAGAAATGGAGAGGCGGGGTGGGTAGGTAAGTGTAGTATGATCAAAACCTTACTTTGCTATTTCCCTTAATTTTTAACTGTAATGCTACAGAAAAATTAATTAAAGAGTCATATAGTCATACAACATGGAAACAGACCCTTTGGCCCAACTCATCCATGCTGACCACATTTCCTAAAATGAACTAGTCCCCAGTGCCTGCATTCGGTCCATATCCCTCTAAACCTTTCCTATCCATGTATCTGTCCAAATGTCTTTTTAAATGTTGTAATTGTACTCGCCTCTAGCAATTCCTCTGGCAGCTCATTCTATACATGCACCACCCTCTGTGTTGCCCCTCGGATCCATTTTAAATCTTTCCCCTCTCACTTTAAACCTATGCCCTCTAGTTTTGGACTCCCCTACTCTGGGGAAAAGACTTTGGCTATTCACCTTATCTGTGTTCTTCATGATGTTATAAACCCCTATAAGGTCACCCCTCAGCCTCCTACAACCGGCCTCTCCTTATAACTCAAATCCTCCAGTCTAATTGCACCAGGTCTATGTTTTCTAAAGTTTTTTTTGTCTAGTGCCTTTAGAGTAAACATAGGAGGTATGGTCAGTAAGTTTGCAGATGACACCAAAATTGGAGGTGTAGTGGACAGCGAAGAAGGTTACCTCAGAGTACAATGGGATCTTGATCCGATGGGCCAATGGGCCAAGAAGCAGCAGATGGATAAATGTGAGGTGCTGCATTTTGGAAAGGCATATCAGGGCAGGACTTATACACTTAATGGTAAGGTCCTGGGGAGTGTTACTGAACAAAGAAACCTTTGAGTGCAGGTTCATAGTTCCATGAAAGTGGAATCACAGGTAGAGAGGATAGTGAAGAGGCATTTGGTACACTTGCTTTCATTAGTCAATGCATTGAGTATACGAGTTGGGGGGGTCATGTTGCAGCACGACGGGACATTGGCTAGGCCACTTTTATAATACTATATGCAATTCTAGTCTCCCTGCTATAGGAAGGATATTGTCAGACTTGAAAGGGTTCAGAAGAGATTTACAAGGATGTTGCCAGGGTTCGATGGCTTGGGCTACAAGGAGAAGCTGAACAGGCTGGGGCTATTTTCCCTTCAGCGTTGGAGGCAGAGGGATGACCTTATAGAGGTTTATAAAATCATGAGGGGCATGGGTAGGGTGAATAGCCACAGTCATTTCGCTGGGGTGGGGGAGTCTAAAACTAGAGGGCATAGGTTTAAAGTGAGAGGAGAAAGATTTAAAAGGAACCTAAGGGCCAACCTTTTAACACAGCGGGTGGTACGTGTATGGAATGAGCTGTCAGAGGAAGTGGTGGAGGCTGGTACAATTACAACATTTAAAAGACATCTGGAAGGGTATATGAATAGGAAGGGTTTAGAGGGATATGGGCCAAATGCTGGTAAATGGGACTAGATTCATTTAGGATATCTGGTTGGCATGGATGAGTTAGACCAAAGGGTCTGTTTCCATGCTGTATAGCTCCATGACTCTATATGAACACACAGGCATAGGTGTATACAGGTTAGGACAGTAGCAGGCCATTCTGACCAGTTACAAATTCCACTCTAAGTCACTCATCGTCCAAACTTGGAAATCTATCGCCATTCCTTCACTGTCGCTGGGTCAAAATCCTGGAATTCCCTCCCCATGGGCATTGTGTGTCAACTTACAGCAAGAGGACTGCAGTAATTCAAGAAGGCAGCTCACCAGCACCTTCTCAAGGGGCAACTAGGGACGGGCAATAAATACTGGCTTGGCCAATGATGGCCACGTCCCATGTGTGAATAAAAAAAAGATCTTTGGACCTGCTCGCTATTCGGGGCTGATCTGTTTGTGGTCTTGCCTTCACATTCCTGCCTGCGCCCCCGATAATATTTGAACTCCTTGTTGATCAGAAATCTGTCTTAAACTGAGTTTTGAATATATTCAACGACCTAGCCACCTGTGCTTCTTGGGAAAGAGAATTCTGAAGATGAGCAACACTCTGAGAGCAAAAGATGTCTCCTCTTGTCCATTTTAAACAGGAACCCTCTTGTTTTTAAAGTATGGCCCCTGCATCTAGTCTCTCCCTAGAAGGGAAACATTCTTTCAGCACCCAACTTTTCTCAAGATCTTATATGTTTCACCAGGAAAATCTTCTATGACCTTCAGTGCATGCCAGTATGGGAACTCTATTCAGTCCTTGTGCATCTGAAGCTCCCGGAGACTATGCACAGGGAAATTGGGAAGAACACGCCTACCAAAATTAATCCCACAGTCTTAAAGCCCTTTAGACCTTGGACATCCAGGTTTACACCTGTTGTCAGTGCTAAAGTTGGGTTAATTCAGGAAGCTGATAGCATCGGTACATAATTGGTCTTAGATCAAGTAAAAGGAACTTGGCTAAGGTTCCAAGACCTAATTGTTATGATTTAGGGCCAAGGTATCTGAAGGATGGCTGCCAATGGTAGAGCAGTTAAAATGAGGGAGGTAAGGGTTGAAAGAATGTACAAATTTTGGAGGATTGTGAGACTGGATATGGTTGCAGACATATGAAGGAACCATAACCATGAAGAGATTTAAATAATCAAGAAGGGAATATTAAAATCAAAGCATCTCTGAACCAGGAGCTGATGCATAAAGCTCTGTGTCTCTCCTTCTCTCTTTTGTCCTTCATGATGCTGCTTTAAAACGGACCTCTTTGACCAAGCTTTTGATTGTTTATCTTAATATCTCTGCAGTTGCTACAGTTTCAAATGTTGTTTGATAATTGTTCCTGGGGAGCACCTCAGATGTTTTACTGCGTTAAGGGTGCTTTGTAAATGTAAGTTGTTTTTGTAAACACTGCTGAAAGAGACATGAAGTTAAAGGATTTTGTCTTACACTCATCAGATCTGAAAGGCAAGAAACTAATTTTTGAGATAAAATGCATCAATCTCTTTTTAGCAATGTTTATGGTCTCTGCAACAAAGCAATTATAACTTATGTTCGGGTGTAATAGGAACTGCAGATGCTGGAGAATCTGAGATAACAAGGTGTAGAGCTGGATCAACACAGCAGGCCAAGCAGCATCAGAGAACCAGGAAAGCTGACGTTT